AAGTCACGGCATCCCAGCTTTATTGACCAAAAGCTGCACTCTAGAACTCGAGGAGGTGTGGGCGTGCTACGCACCCAACCAAAACGAAATTGGGCAAATGTCGATAGCCTTTATTAGGCCCGAAGAGGTGCAACATTTCCCCGGGTTATCGATAATTCAAAACCATAATTTGACCGCCAGAACGGTCGCCGATTTTAACCAAAATGATGGCATTCGAGGGGTAGCTTAAATTATTGGGAGGGCAGCAGAGGAAACATCCACTTTTATGGGCAAATTGTTTATAATCATTGCCGCAAACATCGGCATTCAAAAACGATCAGCTCTAAGCACCACAGAATGGAAATGTTAAATGAATTATGCAAAAGCCAGTTGGATTTAACAAACCAATCAGCCAAACGCCGCATTAAACTGTTAACATCGGTTTTTGTTTATTTATGTGTGTATTATTTCTGCGTTTGGTCCGGGGGGGCGTGTTTCAATTAATTAGGCCTCAACGAGTTCGCTTTGCCTTGTCGAAGCCTCAGATAGACAAACTTTCAAAGTTTCCCAAAAGCGCCACAAAAATCGATCCTCCAAAGCTTCAAAGCCCATTTTTAGGCAAATCGAGTTGACGGTAAATACCAAGGCAAAGCTTTACTCGATTAAGTGAACGTCTTAAGAAAGCCCGTTGCTCAGGAATGAAATGGTTGAAGAGCATCAGTAATTTCCCCAGTTGACGTGAATGAAGCCGCTTTAGATCCCCTCCAGTTGACATGTAATATGTGTGCAATTAGAAGAAAATCGTCAAAGTATACACGTACACGCTTTCTAATGTCAGCCAATCGTTGCCTGGATTTGAGCGGTAATTATGAGGCCCATTGTGGAAAATATTCACGATCTTTTACCAACAGACGCCTCATTGTTCTCCGCCCCATTATGTCCTTCGAGCGAATATGTTATGCCCCAAATGACTAAAATTTATGGACTGTCTATCATGCGAGTGCCGCACTTTAAGTGCAAACTTGCCGACTTCAGTGTGCCAAAGTCTTGTAATTCAAATGCGCCATTTGCTTGGATTAAATGGAAATCCACTACCCACTCTTTCAATCGATGGGAGCCGTTTTTGTCCTGGAATTCTTTCCCTGGCCAACTCATCGCTTCACGGAAAATTGGAACGATTTGTTCCGAAATTCGGGGCATTTGTCACGCAAAGTCGGAAAGACGACTGGATATCCGCATGCACTATATTGGGCTACAAATGTGTCGTCCTGTAGGAGAGTTAAATGAAACACATTAGAGAAGTGCAATTAGGAAAGAGATGAACGGGGCCACGGGTACGCTCAGGGCCCGGAATGAGCCTCATTTATAAACGGGAATTTGATGGACGATTCCCGGGGCTTAGCGAAAGGCTTTTATGACTTGCGAATGAATGCCCAGCTCGTGTAATCAATTAATCCATCCATTTGAGGGTGCAAATTTCAATTCACCCCCATACACGCTTTCTGGGAAAAATCTTGCATTTGAAGAAAAAATCTCAGTTCTACCAAGCGATAGAGCAGTTGCAATCTCCAAACAATGTAGCTGTAAACCGTCAAACTTTCAGTTAAATCCATGCACTCACTGATTTTTGGGAAGTTTTCGAACTTTACCCCGCAATATCAAAAGAGATAGACTATCGAGACCATTCCATGAAGCTAGTGGGTTTTTCGGGTTTTAAGGCCGTTCTAAAATGGAATTTCTTCTTGACGCTTCGCAAGCACGAGTGGCTTACACCTTCAGAGATTGTTTGCTTGAATGCTTGCACTGTTCTGATCTCATCATCAAAAATAGAATTTAATAAATTTACTATGATAATGAAAAAAGTTGATTAAAAAACCCCAAGACTTTCCAGTTCTGAAATAATCAACATTTTCTGTCTAAACTGCTCAACAAAATAAGCGTTATACGCCCAAATTTGCCCTAACTTTGGAACATGACAAATTGTGACTGCTGCGAAGTATTTGATTTCTGTTTGAAGTGTCGTGTAGTAAAATAGCATGCTTTCATTGTATTAAAAATTCCTACAAACTGAACATTAATCTATGGTACTATACATATATACATATGTATATACATGAAAGATTAAATAAGTTTATACTATCTTTATATTGCAATTTTGTTAAATATTTAGTAAACAAATTCTGCTAAAATTCGAATTATTCATGAATCTCTAAAACGCAATCCGTTGGTTATTGGTTGTGACGTCTCTGATCATATAAATGGCGGATTGTTTACGTTCTGTCCATAGTGTTCAGTTGTGTGGTTGTGTTTCATTAATTATTTTGTGGATTTAAATAATTTATAGCTTGTTTTAAACTAAAAAATGGATCAGAAGGATTCCATAAAGCTGAACAAACAATTTACCATGTGTGCATATTTTTTATGGTCACCAAATTTTTAAAAAACGACAAACGCTTTAATACAGCCGAATTTAAGGGTGTCAAAGTAGCAGCGTACGTAAAAATCCGTAAATTCATTATTAGTTACTCTCTCTTTAATATACTAATCTGTCTGTATGGTTTAAATTAGGTAAATAATATATAGAATTTCACTTATTCTATTTAACCTAAACTATACGCATGGCTGCTTTAAAAGTAAAATGAACTCTTAAATTTGTATTTCGGGTATCACGAGAACAATATGGTGATAGTGCTATCGGACATGTGGAATTGAAACGCGAGGGTTGTTTGTATAGTGTACAAGGATAATTTCCCAACGATTTCCAAAACACAGAAGGCATATTCTGTCTGCTTCATCATTAGCTTTTTATTCGTACTTTCATTAAAATGATCCTCGCAACAAAAGAAAATTGATTTTGATTTAAGAACATCACGACTAGCTGCTTTGAACCATAAAACTTTACGTGCATAATCATGGGGAACGGTTAAAAGAGTTTGTTTGGAGCACTTATTGAGGTATTCTTGCATCCTGGCACAAAACACCACTTCTTTTGTGATCCATAAATGTCACTATTTTCCATTATGCAAGATAATAATAATAATCAATAAAATAATGATAATCACAATAACTTAAATAATAAAACAAAGCTGCGAAAACAACCAAATAAACATGAGGCACTTTGTTGATATGACCTGCTACGTCACAATCGGGATAGGCAACCGACGATACGGATTCGGCGTTTTTGGCGGAAAATATCTGATTTGAATTTAAATTCGGTTTTCAATTATTATGGAAACTTTTTTTGCAAAAAAAATATATCAGTCTATATTTTTTTATATGTATATACTATATCAAATATATTTTTTCCTATGTTTTTATTTACGAGATGATGTCAAAAAATCGACTTTTTGGTCCTGCAGCAATAACATTTTTCTTCTTGAACCGATTTTCAAAATCTACAGCTGCCGGCGAAGCTAAAACGTCCTGTAAGAAAATGTACAAGTATGATCGTCGACTCAAGACAAAAATTAAATTCACAGGAATGCATTAAAAGTGACCCATTCGGAATTTCCCCCAAAATTTCGTATTATAGTAGACTTTGAATTAAAGTTAAATTTATTGCTTTTTGATATTAATTATATATATTTATAATTTATAATTTGTTGCCTCGTTACGCGCATTTTCAGGCGAACAAGACCTTCACAAGACAAGGTGTTCCACCACCAGTCAATCTTAACTCATGTCTAGCATAGATCATCCTAAACTGTTCAGAATTAACGGATTGTTTGAAAATAAATTTATCTTTAATTCAAAGTCTACCATAATAGCAAATTTCGGGGGCAATTCCGAATGGGTCACTTTTAATGCAATCCCCTGAATTTAATTTTTGTATTGAGTCGACGATCATACTTGGATCTTCTTACATGACGTTTTAACTTCAACGGCAGCTGTAGATTTCAAAAATCGGTCCAAGAAGAAAAATGTTATCACTGCAAAACCAAAAATTCGATTTTTTGACATCACCCCGTAAATAAAAAAGATAGCAAAAAAAATTGAAAACCCGTTTTGAGATATGAGGTCTATCCTTATACCTTTGATGTTGAAATTCTAAAAATATTTTTTTTGCTCAATTGAGAACATGTCAAACTTTCACAAATTGCTTCAATTGCCACCTGTAGAAACTTTAATTGAAGCGCCATTTATTTGTAAAGACACGCACTGATAGAAAAATACTTATACTACACAACACTTCAAACAGAAATAAAGTAGCTCACAGAAGTCATAATTTATCGAGTTCCAAAGTGAGGGCAAATTTGGCCGTGTAGCTTTTATTTTGTTGAACAGTTTATTTTGAGCGGTTTTTAAGCGATCGCAAATTTCAACGGACGATATCTTCCTTATGATGGACTCAAAAATTCAAAAACACGGTTGTCAGATTTTAAATTTTGTTCGAAAATTCCATGAGGCAAGGGATCGATTTTTTCAAAAAATTCAAGTCACTCAAAATACCTCAAACTCTACATTATTTTCACCAGCAAAAAAGCGAGAAATGCAACAAGGTGATTAAAAAACACTGCAGACAAAACAAAAAAAAACAAAGCAAACCACCTCTGAAGATGCAAGGTACTCGTGCTTGCGAAACCTCAGACAGAAATTCCGTTTTACGACGGCCTAAAAACTCACTAGTGTTTTTTACCCCGAGGGTTAGTGCAGCAGACTTGAACTTGATTTTTTTTTAAATCCTAACTTCGCCTCTGAAGGATGATGTCGATTGAAGTTTGAGAGCTCAAAGCAGACTACAGTAGCTACAAATCCATGCACTCACTAATTTTTGACAATCTCCCAAATTTGCATAGCAAATTCAGTACTGGATTCTGAAGAAAAATCCCTGCTCCGCCTCTGAAGGCAGGCAGCAGTTGCAATTACTACAGGGTGTAACTCGCTATAGTGGCTACAAATCCTGATCATTTTGCTCACCTTCAAATGATCACTAAATTTTTAGAAGTTTCACGCCAAACCATTTAATCACATTTGGTTCACTCTGTATTAGTTGGATTAAAATTGCGTTTGTTTGCTTGCAGATTGGAGTTCATGCAGCTTCCACAGTACCATGGTGGACTACTCGATGTATCATGAAAACACATCGAGCTACTTCCACTTGATCAATGCAAGCAACATCAGCGACAGCGAAGGTAAGTGAGCGCTCAGCTACGCCGCTGTTGGATTGTAATTAAAATTTTTCTGCAGAGTTAGCCGTGACGTCAGACGGGCGCATGCAACCGACAAAGGTTATATTAAAAGCAATATAAAAGCAAATCTGCTAAATATATTATTATGGTTACGTTCGTTGGCGGACTTTATTAAAGCAAAAGCCGCCAAACCTTGGATTTCTTTGTTATGCAAAACAAGCACCTGCCTTAACCTATGTTATCGTTTAATTACGCTGGGTGATGCTGTTTTGCGTGCAAATTCCGCCGGAAGTGAGTGTGATGAGGAAACCACAACCATTTTCTTTTTCCGCCTCAAGTTCTTCGATTTCCGGGCCTCCATTGCGGTTCTCCATTAATTTCCAGTTACTACTCCTTTTTTTCTTCTCTCCCCGCCATCCACTCTCGCCACTTTAGACTTGTAAATTAGTGGCCGCCTAATGGTTTGACTATTGCGATCCAGATTAGTGGATTTGTTCGTTTGTACATCTTGCGCAAATTCAGCTCGGTTTATGCTCCGGAAACTGGAAAATTTGCAAATTTGCCTGATTTCTTACTTGAAAACTGCAAACTCCACTGACTGCAATTGAGCATTGCTTTGGGCTTCAGTGGCGGAACTACGCAATTTCTTCCGAGAGTAAAGAAAAACAATTTTTCTATTCTGTTCAAAAATCACCGAATGCATGGATTTCAGTGCAACTTTTGCAACTACTTTAGTCTGATCCAGTCTGTAGCAATTGCAACTGGTACCTTTCTTCAGGGCCGCAGCTACGATTTTTTTCTCGACGGCAAATGTCAGTTTTTCGTATCGAATTTTCTGGACGGTTTAGAAACTCCAAAAAAATCATCAGGTGCATGGATTTGAGTAAAATTTGCAGGATTTGCATCTACTTAAGTCCGCTCCACTAGTAGCAATTGCAACCTTTCAGAGGCGGGGATACGATTTTTTCCTATAGGAAATGGCAGGCTCCCGTAAAAATTAAAGTTTGGAAGCTTCCCAAAAATCAGCAAGAGCATGGATTTGAGTACAATTTGCAGGCTTTGCAGCTACTCTCCTCTGCTCCACTTTGTAGCTGTTGCAACAGCGCCTCCTTTCAGAGGCGGAGGTACGATTTTTTTCATTGACAAATGTCAATCTCCCACATTGAATTTGCTGGGCAAAGTTTCGCAGCTTCTCAAAAATCAATGGGCACATGGATTTTAGTGCAATTTGCAGGATTTGCAGCTACTCTCCTCTGCTCCACTCTGTAGCTGTTGCAACAAGCGCCTCCTTTCAGAAGCGGATCTAAGCATTTTTTTCAATGACAAATGCAAGTCTCCCACATTGAATTTGCTGGGCAAAATTTCGCAGCTTCTCAAAAGTCAATGAGTCCATGGATTTTAGTGCAATTTGCAAGATTTGCAGCTACTCTCCTCTGGTCCACTCTGTAGCTATTGCAACTCTTGCTTCATTTCAGAGACGGAGCTACGATTTTTCTCAATTACAAATGCCAGTCTCCCACAGTAAATTTTCTGGGCAAAGTTTTGCAGCTTCTTAAAAATCAGCGGGTGCATGGATTTTAGTGCAATTTGCAGGATTTGCAGGATTTGCAGCTACTTGCCTGTGTTCCCTCTGTAGCTGTTGCAACCAACGCCTCCTTACAGAGGCGCAGCTACAACCTTTTTGGCATTTGCAGCTTTCTTATTCAGTTTAAATTATTATTTGTATTATTCATGTTCCAGACCGCAACCAATTCATCCTGCCGGTATGGCGGCAAGTTTTATGGAGCATCCTGTATGCAGGAATGGTTATTGTGGCAACTGGTGGCAACTTGATCGTAATCTGGATCGTGCTGGCCCACAAGCGAATGCGAACCGTCACCAACTACTTCCTCTGTAAGTTTTCGCTCAGTATATCGCCTTGGCGAGCAATTTTTTGCTGCTGGATAATCCAGAAAATAACACGTGGATATTGCAACGCCGTTTGCACGTCCTGTCCGGTAACTTGTGGAAAATAATCGTTTCCAGACTGGATATATATGGTGCTACGGATATGTAATCTGAAATAATGTCGAGCCGATATGGGGCAGTAAAAATCGCAAGTCTGCAGCATTCGTTTCGGACGTAATCCGGCTGAAACAAGGCTCGTTTCTTCGGATGGTTAAATTGCGAAAAACTGCACGTGCAATCCCGCTAGCCGATAATACAAATATCCAGTTTTTTATTTGTTTAGCCAACTAATCCAGCAGCAAATCCTCCCACTAAGATTATCCAGACAGTCAATGCATCCAGTTCACGCTTCCATAAGTAGATTTACTGCCATAATTAGTGCGATTCAGATTTAATGGATTTAGAGCTGTTGGGGCTTGTAATGGAAATGCACATGTAAACCCGTTGATTCGTGTTGTATATTGGGCAAAAATTACGGAAAAGCCGCTGATCAAATCCAAGTTAATTAGTACATTTATCCAATTGCCCTAATGGAGTCAATCCCCAACATCCCTCACGGTTAATTCGGTTCAATTAGGCGAAACTATTAACGAGACGATTCGAATGTTTAATGGAAAATCACTGGCAAACTTGAAATCTCAATGTTTGGCGACAACTGGGCAGTGAATGTTGGATTAAAAATCTGGGAAATCAACCGCCTTCAAAAGCTCCGGACAAAATTAATTAATAAAATAGCCGACAATTTCTTGAGACAATTGCCACAAAAAAATGCCACTTCCGGGAGCCAAGCTAATTAATTCGTTAAATCCTCTTCACGTCAGGCACATCACTCGGCCCCTGAAGTGTAGGATCAAGATTTTTCCATGATTAAGGATGTTTGTTAATTAAGCTATTGTTTTCCAGTGAACCTCTCAGTAGCTGATACCATGGTGTCCACCCTTAATGTTACCTTCAACTACGTCTACATGCTCTACTCCCATTGGCCGTTCGGAGAACTCTACTGCAAGATCAGCCAATTTATTGCCGTTCTGTCGGTTTGCGCCAGCGTTTTTTCACTTATGTCCATTTCCATTGATAGGTAAGTGAACGTAATTTTTCCTAAACTCAGAAATAAAAAAAATGCATTGGAAAACTTTCCAGAACAGAAGCTTCTTCTCAGTAATAAATTCGAACGCAATTTCCTTCGCGTGGCATAAACTCTTCAATCTTTCAGCTAAATAAACCGCAAAGGCACATTGGGCTTAAATTCCAATTATAATGAACCTGGACGTGAAAGTTACATAACTAAATCGGGCTTAATTGCAAGCTTGTTAGAAGCAATTTATACTGTTCCGAGCAGTTGCCGCTTTATCTGCATTATACCCGAGAACGAATCGGGTCTGGTCCCGAATTTCAATTGAATTAAGAAGATCTTTTTGAATCTGCGAAATAGGAAAATATCGCCTTGTTTAAATACAGCTGTTTCGCCTTTAGTGCGGTATCCAAAGGAAAATAAATCGCTTTACATAAACCCGTTCGTCTTACCTTTCCACTTAGTTTCGCTTCCAGCGTGATTTAATGCGGGGAAATCGTTCTATTTGTGCTTAATCTGTTTGTTTCCGCCACCCCCTAGCAATAATGTATTTGCCGAGTGTTGTTTTGCGAAATCGGGGGCCGCGATTCCTTATTCATTTATGCAGACGACACTATGCTGATTGCATTTGTTTCAGATACATGGCGATTATGACACCGCTAAAGCCTCGCATGGGCCGCATGGTTACTTTGGTGTTGGCGCTCTCCACTTGGGTGTTGGGCATTATTATTGGAATGCCCAGTCTCTTGTACTACAAGACCTACAAGGATACGTACTCTAATGGGGAGGAGAGAGTCATTTGCTACCCCGAGTGGCCGGACGGAATCAGCAACGAAAGTCTTTATGAGTACTAGTGAGTGTTATTTAAAAAAAAATAAACTTTTGAAAAATTTTATAATCCGGGGCAGTTTGGCATTGCCATTTCCAAACTGTTGCGCTTAAAGGCAATGTCACAGACAAGAACAGGCATAGTTTGCAGTGCAAGCAACGAAGAGGGAGCGCTAAGCAGTCCGCGCTCTGTTTATTGCACTGTCCAAGTGCACTGACAAGGACAGCTATAGGGGGAAGCTTTGCACTTGAGAAGGCCGTCGCCAAACTCGTCCGGCGAAGCTGAAGCTTATCAAACCCGATAATTTCAAAAACTCGATGTTCAAATTGAGCGTTGTAGTTTTTATTGTCAAAAAGCGGCTTTCGTCGGAACGACTTCTAAAAAATAGTAAAAATTAAGCCAAACCTGTCACGAAAATCAAACTTTGAGGAATCAGAGAGTAGAGACTTTTCTGTTTATAAGCAACCAGACATAAGAAGCATTTTACGGATCTTTTTAGAAAAATTGTCAAAATTAGCCCAAACCGGTCACGAAAAGCAAACTTTGTGTGAGTGTATTTCCCTATTTTTGGCAGGTAATTTTTTTTAGGCGCGGTTTTCCAACTGTTTTTGTTTCAAACAGCTCTATCCGAATCTTATTTAAAAAATGTGTCCAAATTAGGTCAAACCTGCCCAAGAAATCGACCTCAGGGGTTTCATAGAGTGGAGTTTTGTCTATTTTCCATCTAAATCCGCACATCGATCCCGTTAAAAGATAAAAACCTTCTGGTTTCTTCCCAGAAACATCCAGATAGATTTTCGTATTGAAAAACCCTCCGACCCTAGACCAAGCCTAACGTTCCGCCACTGTTTTCCCACGACTGGGCATTTTCGCTATTGAAACGGAACGGCGCAATTAGCAAAACATCTTGTTAATTAGTAAAAAGGGACCCTTAAAGGGGCGAATAAAAAATTCAAACGCACCCTCGCCTTTACGTCTGAGGGCCGAAAAGAAAATTGTCCGCTGTGTTCTAAATGGATTTTAGGTGTTTAATAATTTGCCAAATTTGAAATGGCGCGTTTTTTGCCCCCGAATGTATAGCGAATCATAGCGGGGGGAAAACTGGTTTCTTTGGCCAAAGTCTTTAGCGACACCACAATGCATCGGTTTTTTTGCATTTTAAAAGCAAGTCGAAAACTTTTAATTCGAAAGTTGAGGAAAGTTTCAGGGGGAAAAGTGAGTCGCAATCCGGACTGGGAGAAGTTTGGGAGCCCGAAAGCGATTCCTTGGGGAATCGCTACCAGCGTCATTGGATTACCTTATTGTTTGTTGAAGAAGTAAATGTCAAAAGCTGGAGGATTTCGGCTCGGAAATTATGAGATTTAATTTTCAACTGCCGACATTTCCTTTAAGCGTTCAGTAATGTTAATTTTCCCGACAGTTTCAATGTGATCTTCCTGGTGATAACCTACTTGGTGCCAATTCTATCCATGACTTACACGTATGCTCGCATTGGAATCGAACTGTGGGGGTCGCAAAGTATCGGCGAATGCACTCAAAGACAAATGGACAACATCAAGAGCAAAAGAAGGGTAAGTTGTAACTGTCGCCCGGGTTGCGACGGTTCGCTAGCGGTCACGCCAACCGAAAATTAACCAGCAAAACGAAGGAAATTAGAGGGTACAACCTCAATCTATATTCAAATTAATACAATTTACCGACGGAAAATGTGCCAAGGCAGTTTTTTTTGTTAATATTCAAACTTAAAAACAGCATTTAAGAAGCTTTTGCTCGATGCGATTGAAGTGCAAAAATTATTGATTGAACTACTCGGAGGAATCTATTCATATAATCTGGGGGAAGTTTGGCATTGCCCTTCCCACCCTGTTGCGCTGAGATGCAATGCCACCGACAAGAACACACATAGTTTGCACTGGGAGTAACGAAGAGGCAACATTTAAACTACCGCGCTTTATTTAGTTCCCTGTCCAAATTCACTGACAAGGACAGATATAAGTGAGAGCGTCACATTGAGACGGCCGTCGCCAAACTCACCCATCAAAGTTTAGTTTTTTCCGAAACTATCATGCTTGAAACTAGTAAATTTTCCACGAGGGCATAAAAGTCCAAAAATCGCACCAGCTTCTGTTTTCCCGACGCTTCGCAGGATTAAAGCAGTGTAAATTCCTTAATTAGGGAAAACTGGCAATTAATTCCTTTGTGTGCAGAAACTTCGCAAATTGAGCGCAAAAGACCCGTTTATTATTTGCATTTTCTATAAATTCCTTCGAATAAATTCATGTAAAAAGGCACAGGGTTTCAAAGCTATATAGACGATCCGGGATAATTTTTCGGAAATACCGCAACTCAAGGGCAATTTAACGCGGAAAAATGACTGTAAAGGACCCACCAGAAAATTTCCAAATCACTCTAAAGCCCCAGCTTAGAGTAAACAGCGTCGCAATCCTCGTTAACATCTTTCGGGTGTGCCAGAAGTGACGTGCTTGTTCGTGGTTTAAACTTCATTAAAACTCCCTTAAAATAGCTTATAAAGACACCAGTCTAAGACAGTTGGAAAGTTCAGTTTCGCGAACTTTCGCAACGTTTTCTCCAGGCAACTTTGCCACTATTTCAGCTGAAACCGACGGTTTTTTCAGGTGGTGAAAATGATGATGGTAGTGGTGATTATTTTCGCCGTATGCTGGCTTCCATATCAACTCTACTTCATCATCATCGCCTACTACCCGAAGATCACCAGATCGAAGTACATTCAGGAGACTTTCTTGGCCATCTATTGGCTGGCGATGAGCAATTCCATGTACAATCCCATCATCTACTGCTGGATGAACGCCCGGTATGTACAGTGTTTTTAGATGTTTTGTCAAAGTGATTTTTCTCTCAACGGGGCCAATAATAACTCGGATCGTCTAATTTGATGAACGCGCCGGTAGATTTGCGGGCGGGCCCATAAAAGCGCCCATTTGCGGAAAAACGTATAAATCCGCTTTATCTCGGCAGATCATAAAACAGGGGTTGTCGCATTATGGGAAAATAATGGTCAGCTTGCCGCCCCTGTCTCGCTCTCGGTCTATGGGGCGAATTCTATTTTAATGCCCGGAGAAGACCGAAATTGAGATGTTTCGCGAAACACGTTCCTCCGCTCGTCGTTCCGCTTTTACTCGGGCGATAGAAACGGGGTTTTCCAGTTTCCGGATGCAAAAAAAAGAGCCATAATTCTGCAGAATTTTATAGCCAGAAGCTAAAATAGTTGCATACATTCATAAAATTGTGCGGCTGATGTAGTATTTGCTTTCAAAGGACTCTGTATCCCTTTGGAGACTAAGAATTTCGGATCAAACCTTATAAGAAATGACTCCCTCATAAGAAACTCAAAAACGTCCAAAAGCTTCCTACGACTAATTAATGATTTTGAACTAGGCCTGGGCCTAATTATGAAATACAATTTATTAGGTATATTAGAACACTAGCCTCCTTTGTCGATTCCTAAAAGTTTTGAAATCCCTTTCCAGCTTCGATTTTGGGACAAAAATCAAATAATTTTCTGTCAAAAAACGAACTGAATAAGCGAAAGTTTATAATAAATTATTTTCAAATCTCGGCACTTCCGTTCCTCTGAAAACTGTAGTTTGCTAAAAAAATTTATTTTTTTAGTTTGTACTGAATTTTTTTCGCATTGCTTTCTACTCAAGAACGTGCTATTTTGTAGTTTTACTTAAAAATACTGACGATCTGGAGGTCTTTTTCGCGAAAAATTACAAGATAAATCTATAGCTTTGAAGGAATTTTACAAAAACTTTTTTCGGCGTCGAATTCGGGTCAAAAACGAAAATAAATTTCTCCGGTTTTTCCCCAAAAATCATTAAGATTTTCTCAAAAAAACGATCACAAAACTAAACGTTTTTAAGCAAAACGCAAACAAACATTATTTTCTGATGCTTTTCTTCTTTTCTAACAATAATGGGGCCTTTTCAGTCAAAAATTACGAAACTAATTTTGCTAGAAAATTTGCTTCATTCATCGGTTTGCAGGGAACTTTAGAAAACCCTTTTCAGCTTCGAATTTGGCACAAAAACCAAATGATTTTATTCAGTTTTTTACCGAAAGTGATTAAAATTATCTAGAGAAAACGGCTAGAGCAAAATGTTCCAAAAAATTATTTGGAAAATTCGCTACCCTCATCGCTCGGAAGATTTTTAAGTTTCTATAAAATTTCAGGTCTTTTCAGTTTTAGCAAAGTTTCTATTAAGCAATTCTTTCTACGCAAAAAACGTATTATTTTTAGTTTTACTTAAAATACTGACAATCTTCAGGTATTTTCTGTGAAAATCTCGGCTTCTGAACAGCTTTGTAATTTTTTTCAGGAACCTTTTGCAGCTTCAAATTTTGAAAACCCTAATAATTTTTTTTGGATTTTTTCCCAAAAGTATTGGACCGAACAGAACAAGTGGAAGTTTATAATCAATGATTCGGAAAACATTACACTATTGTCGCTGTGAATAATTTGGTTTATTTAAATTCCGGTTTATTCACTTTTCCGTCATTATTTCTAAAGAAAACTCTCTAAACGGAATAAGGCATTTTTTCCTAACGTTTTACTGTAAAATACTGGCAAACTGAGTCTTTTATGCAAAAAAGTTAAAAGATGGATTTTACAAGAAAAGTCGTCGTGTTTACAGTTTGGTCTTCTTTGACGTCTTTTTCAAATACCGGTTTCATCTTAGAATCCGGGACAAAATCGAAACAAAGTTATCTTGTTTTTTTCAACAAAATTTAGGTTTCCTTAAAAACCGACCAGAGAAATCAAAAGCGTATAATCAATATTTGGAAAAATTATCACCCTCATGGCTCTAAAAATGTTTTAAGTATCTGCAAAATCTCCGAATTTTCCCGTTTTGGGACCAAATAGTATCAAGCAATCGTATGCTCAAAAGCAATATTTTGATTGCTTTTTTTGTTAGATGTTAAAATTCCGTCAGCGGCCATGAGTTATAACTCATTAACCAACGAGTTAAAACTCATTAACTCAGGGAGCGGCAACAACTCAACAGCGCAACTCAACACAGTGTTACTCAAGCCTATTTTGAAGATAATCTGTTAAATTGGAACATACGCAAAAAATTCACATTTTTGCTTTGAAATGCGATGCAAAATTTCGCATAAGAACTCAGTGCGCTCAAGAAAAGGTTTTCAAAATTTTTCGCAACATTATTGCAACATTTTTCGTCGATTTTGGGATGAAATTGAAAATGATCAATAATTCAACAAAATTTTTAAATGTTTGCTGAAAAAAGCAAAGTAATGAAAACTGCAACTGAAACGGGCTATAGAAAAAGCCACTGTGATTGACCCAATAATTTCAACCGTTTTCAAAATTTCCACCAAAACAGGTAGAAACCCTAGTACGAACTTATCTAGATCTGGATACAAAAAGGCGGTTTTCAATCTAAATCGAGCCATTTAAGGGCAGTTTCAGCTGGATATTAAAGATTAGCTAAAAATCCCATAGACACGGTCACATCAATACACAAACAGAACAAAAAAATGACTGTATATGTTTTGCAGGTTTCGACGAGGTTTCAAACAGTTCTTCTCCTGGCTGCCGTTTGTGCACGTTAGTCCAGGAGCTCTGACGCGACGCGAGGTGTTAACCAGCAAAAGACGCTCCTATTCCGGATCGCCGGATCACAACCGGATAATCCGCAACGGTAAGCAAACGACCAGGTGGAAAAGCGGCTCCGATGGGAAAGTTTGGATTTTTAGGGCCGTATAAAAAATATGTGGACGTCCGTCGTGAAAAATGGGCCGCGCAGCGCCGCAACCAACAAGAATCCGATAGTCGAATTTGTATGTATGAGTTTTTGATGTGGCATGCAACAAGCACAAAAAATGTGGACAAAATTGCGGCATTGATGTGGTAGATTATTCGCTTGCGGTGATTTTTTATTGAGAAATTCGGTTGCATGTCTCATTGAAAAGTCATGTCTGGTATTAGCACGAAGCTCCGTTTTGGATCAGTTTTATTTGCAAAAAATATGCCGAATGCGACTCTTTGTGTGAAAATAGCGAATGAGCTTTAGAAGTTTTCGGCAATTTGGCCCTTTCGATCAGCATGCTTCAGACACAATTGGAACCATTTAAACCAAAACTTTGCAAAAAGTGAAAGCAAACAGCTCGAATTTATCACCCATTCTCGACCGGTCAAATGCCGCCCGAATGGTTCAGCGTGAACACGAGTTTTGAGGTCGAAAATAGAACTTTTCGCGCAAAATCTTCCAGATGAAGCTTATGGTTTTTTTTAAATAATTTGCTACAAAAACAAGCAAACTAAGACGGGGGTGGAAGTTTATGCCTAACCGGAATGCAATTTTAACTGAAGTTCATAATACAACCGAGGAAAGCTCTTTATATATCTTCTTAATTATCCAAAACAAACTTAAATTATTACGTAATGTTGGGGGGGTAGGATGTTGAAAAATTGTACGAATTTACCTTACGTACTTTAAGCACGGCCCCCAACCAAAAAACCTGGGGAAGTTCGGCCATATCCTTTTGCTCGAAAGCAATGGCACTGACAGAGACGCCCATGTATGTCCTTGAGCAAAACAAGAACACCGCCACAGCATCTCGCGCTCTCTCCAAAGCCTATGGAGCGACAAGAACGAACACAAAAACCTGGCAACTGCCCTAAGATTTCCACTTTCACTTTTCACTGTGGGCAATAAATTTAAATCATCCCCTCCGCATCAGGCAGATACAATCAAACTTTTTTCTTGTTTTTTTTTACAGAAAACGTATTGCTTTCATAATTCATCGTGGGGGAAAACATACAAATACATCCACAAGAGCGATCGCTCAAGTTGAAGTCCCGAGTTTATTGCGTTTTCTGGGGAGCGGCCCCCAAATATATTTAGAGAACTGTCAAGAACCTGATAGACAACCTCGTTTGCAGGAACCCTTCGAGTGTCGTACAACCCCTACACGTCAATGGCGGCAGGCCGACCATCCCCATCTTCGTCAACCAACACGTGCTACAGTCAGGTACCAGACGAAGTGATGATGCGTCGCTGTGAGATGCGTCAATTGTCCTGACATAGGGTGAACTTGGGGGCGGCCAGTACAGCCGCCCCTGAGGGCGTCACCGCCTCTTCAAACGGCAGCGGTGCCAGCTCGCAGCGGAGGACGTGGATATAGGGCGGGGGGTCCTCACGGCTAAGCGCAAAGCCCCGTGAGGATGACATAGAGGAGGAGGAGAGCAAGTTGTAGACGATGGCGGCAACAACGAAATTCCTATACTTAAGTGCTCTGATACAAAATGAACAAGTTCCTCTCAACTCGTCTACAACCATTAGGACCTGGATGGGCCTTTTTTGAATGTGCGATTGATCACTTCGTGTCACTTTGTTCAGAAACCTCGAGTTTAACCAAAAATTCACTATTGATATAAATTCAATCGGCTTTCTAGTGGCCAGTTTACAAAAACACTCTCTGGTTTGAAAGGCATTGCCTTTGTTTTTGTCTTCCGCGCAAATTTTCGCCGGGGTTAATTGCTCTAATCCGATAAAAACATGTTATTGATTTGCTTCAATGGGGACCATCTGGGAATTGGACTAAGGTTGTAAAAAAACGCTTTTTGCAGCTCTATCAAGTTACACAAAAAACTGTCCCCACATGCTAGAACCATCCGAAACACACTCTGTACATAGTAGGGAGCAACTAAATGAAAATAAGCAAATTTTCTCTATAGATTAGAGCAGGGAAAACAGAAACGCTTTCAACATGTAGTACTCTAATGACTATACCGATCGCTCTGTACATACTGACCAAAACTAGGAAAGAAACACTGATTTTCACAAAAACCAACTAACGCCATATCAATAATCCTTAATGACCAACTATGTGATATTACTGAGAAGCTTAAATCGATCAAAATGGAATAGATTTGTACATAACTGTACAGTTATCCAGAAATATTTAATGTAATATGTAAATGTAAAGCGCACCTAAATTCACTTTAGCTAGGAAGATCACTATGTGTATAAAAAAAATTGCTGGATGTATGTATGCCTCTGATTGCCGTAGAGAATGCTGCAAATCCCCGTTTGGAACACTCTGTATGACTTTCCAAATAAAAGGATATTCAACTAATGTAAAATAGTGTATGTTGGTGGATTCTGTTAGTTTTTGCGCCTCAATTCAGGGGTTTAATATGTTTATCACTGTTAATGTACTTTACTGTCGTTTATTTCCAGAAATAAACTGTTCAGATACAGTTTAAAGCTGTTTTAGTTGTCCACTAACAGTCGACCTCAGTCACTGAAGCGCGATGATTTTTTAAGTCCTTATTGGATCATGCCCTCCCCCATCTGCAGAATGAAAAAATATTTAAGGCGCATCCACCAAACTGTTCAAAACTACATACATACGCCAAAAATAAAAAATTCAAAAACTCACTCTGTGAACGCCCGCCAGCTGTGCCTGCCTTCAATCTGAAATTAGAAACAAGGCAGAATTAAAAACATGTGAAATATTTGGTTAATAAATGGCGAACGTCGAGCCAACAAAGGGCCCAAGACCGAGCGATTGCTGTTGGCTGGCGGCTAGCCCGCCCTTCCGCAACCATCCCGCCCCCACTAAAATTTAAGCATTGCGAATCATTTTGTCTTCGGGTGGTTAAATCACTCTTGGACCGCTCTTAGTGACGTCGCGCGATAAAAACAAGTAAAAACATGAACAATTGCGGCAACTAACTCACCTTTGCGTTCTATGCGGTTATTCTGGTGCCAATTTCGTGGTGTTTAGGCAATGGTTCCCACGGCGGCCCTCATGAAGCAAAAGAACCATCAACCCTCCAGCCCTAGGGAATTTTTCCAGAAGCTTTACGGCCACTTGGAACCCAAAGAGCCCAAAGAGCTGGCCGCTAAAGCGGAGGCGCCGCAATTCGCACCAAGTAAGTGCCTGAAATAAAAAAAAAATCGGGTTTAAAGAGCGGATTTTGGTGTTGCAGGGGATTTTGCAAACTCCCCCAAAAGGAACCTTTTGATCGGTTGCTCACGGGAGGAGCTGGTGGTTCCAGTGCCCGTCCTGGCAACCCCCCTGCCCTTTTTGCTGCCGGCTCAGTCCCAACTGGCTGCAGCCGCTGCAGGACTATCGGCCTTTTGTAAGTTCTTTTCTTTAATATGAATTTTTGCAACAAATAAAAATGAAACACGCGACAACGCCGCAGCGGAGATTTAAACGATACAATATCAACTACAATTCGAAATGTAAAATATTATTATGATGGGATTTGGGAGGGCTAGTGGAGCGTGTTGGAAAGCGGCGTCAGTGGGTGGGATTTGCAGGCGCAAACGGATTCCCCATCGAAAACTGTTCAACATTGTCGATTGTTAACAATCACTCTTCCAGTCGCATCAAATGCGAACATAAGGCGCGGGGCCAGAACTAATTAGTTTTTAATTCGATTTAATTAAGTCGCCCCAGGTGCGCCACATGAGAGAAACGGCTGCTGGTTCCCAGCAATCCTCTAGTTGATGACTAAACGCGTAACTTTGACGCACTGTCTTTACACCGCAAAATTTCAATAATCTTTCAAGCTGTTTATTTATAAATCGCAGTGTCACATGAGGGGTTTCGGCCACTGTTAAGGTAACAGAAGGGGTGGCAAATTAAGCGTGCATAATCTGTAATTGAGAGCGAAGGGAAAATAATGATGGACAGATAATACGTGGAGGTCTTCAATATCTCGGGGTGAGTGCGGATGTCGAAATTGCCACATTCAATCAATGTTACAAGCTGGTTACGGTTCAGCAGTTAGCTGAAGAACGGCCCTGCAGGGGCACAAACGCAAAAACATTAACATCGAAACCCAAATTTCGCGTTAAAACACATTGTCATTTGCAAAGCCCAGCTCTTCAACCAATCCAACTTGCTCAAGGCACTAAAATCAAATCGCTGCAAGCATGAGTTTGTGCCAAAACCTGGCTAAATCGGGTCGACCGGACTATATTTGAGTGAGAACCCACGAAAAGCAAATCGACCACGTTTACTAAGTTTTAACGCATGTAAACGTGGCTGTTAAAGAGATAAATTTGATAGATAAAAACAAGAAAAATCGCCAAAATCAAGGCAAATCACTTCCAAAGCCGGACGCTTTTTAGCAGTCGCACCCAAAGCAATTGGACCAAATGACAAAAGCCAATGCGGTTTTACGCGCTTTCTAGACTCTCTAAAATATAGCAGCTGACGTTAGAAAATTCGATAAATAAAGACAAGGAAATTTGGCAAATCACTACAAAAACCTGGCACTTCCTTAGCAACCGCACCCAAAGTAATTCGACCAAATTAGAAATCCAAATGCGGTCTTCCGCTCGATTGGGCCGTAAATGATTTAAATGGGCGTTTATTAATGTTACACTGTGGTGGTTCACACGGCACCCCCCAGGACGCCAGATGGACGCCCCGAAGAGATTCGCCAGCGGAAGTGGACATCCGAAGTCGATGGGTGCGAAATCGAGCCGACCTGGTTCTGGAGGACGCGAATTATCGTAATTTTTCTCCCCCAAAAAAATTGCAGCTATGCATGAATCGACAACAGTGCCCAACGGCTTACCAACATCAAATATCGGATTCTGGGAAAACGGGCCTGCTGGAAATTGTCGCCAAGAGAGGTGTGAAAAGCTCCGTACGGAAAGCGGAACATTAAGCCGGTCATTGTGCAAACCCAAGCGCGTGTAAAGTTGTAAATGCGGCTTATACAACAATCGCTATTATTGGCGGCTGATTTTGTTTGTTGGGTTTTTTTTCAGTGGCCAGACGGAGGCGTAAAGAGGGCAGACCGCGCCGCCAGCGGACCACCTTCAGTTCTGAGCAAACGCTGCGCTTGGAGATCGAGTATCAGCGCTCAGAATACATTAGTAGAGGACGGCGCTGCGAGCTGGCCGATGAGCTCAGGCTCTCCGAGACTCAGATCAAGATCTGGTTTCAGAACCGACGCGCCAAAGACAAGCGAATAGAAAAGGCGCACTTGGATCAGCACTATCGGTAATGTTTATTTGCACGTTAAACGCGATTAATAGATAGAAATCTCCCGGCTCAATTCACTTACAAGATCCGGCTCCTGATATGATTTTCTCGTGCTTAGCGACTATTAAACGGGGCTTTTAAAGACACCGTGCATCCCCCTTTTTAGAGTCGTTAGCGCCCTAATGAGGTCCATACAAATAAAACACAAAGAGGAACAATTATTGTTTGTTGCCCGGCCAGTTTGGGAAATTAGTTTTCTCATGCATTTACCCAACGTCTAATTGTTCATTGTTTTCAGAAAACTCATGGGTTCATTTCAGACCGCCCTATGCACCGAGGGCCCCTGTTTTCACCCCTTTATCAGCCCCCAACTATCCCAGCCGCTGGCCAATTCGGAAATTCAGCCCGGCAGCGTAACGTTCAGCAATGCCGGCACTTCGCTGGCCGAAAACAGCAACAGCGCTAGCCCCTAAGTACTTAAACAGCGCTGTCAAGAGCTGAATATCAAAAAACGGGCCTACGGCGCCCATGATCTAGTCTTAGGCTATTGTGTATATAAAAGCTCAGTTAATCAGGATATTTCTAAGAATCTTCTATGCTTGACCGCAATTTTAATCAATGGCAAAGAATGAAGGATGAAGTGAAGCGCGGAAAATGCAACAAAAACCAATCCCGGTTCTCCTGCAATTGCAATTGAAAAGCCCCACTTTTAAACAGTCGCACGGCAATTATGCTTTCCGCATTCAGAAAAGGGAATTTAAACTCGATCTCTTTTAATGTAAATCAATTAAGATATTCACTTACTTGTTTGTAATCTGGATCAATGGTAATCATCTACGAACCAGTTCCATTATCAGCAACAGTTCCGAAACGTTGGCCTAAAAATCAAAAACAGCAAATTAGATAAAATTCTAGTTCTGGTTGTATAATATGCATGGTACCGAAACCAGTCGGTTTTGGGACCATACATGAGGAAATCACGAGTGAATTAATATCTAGCACAACGAAGCACGTTTCAAACTACACCTACCTAACCCAGGTTCACTTTTACAAATATTCTTGGAGTTGCTGATTGATCTGGCCTAAGAAAAATCCTACTACGAAAAAAGCTAGTTGTGAGGCGCTTCATAAAAACAACCTGAGCCAAATAGTTTTGTTTTGAGGATGGGATGCGTTGGAAAGAACTAGACCAATTAGGAAAAACTTACTGATCCCATCCTCACCTAAACTAAGAAATGTAAAAACTTGAAGTATACATACCTAAACCTAATTCCTGCCTATCAAACTACTTATCCTCATTAACTGCTGTCCCTATTCTATTGAAAGCGCGATATTCCTCCATTCTGGTCCAATTACTTTTTAAAAAACCAACTCATCAAGTTACTTCCTAATTGGACGAATCGAAAAGCCCTAAACTGCAAAGGTTTATTAAACAAAAAACGCCTAATTCAAATAAGAACGACCTGTTGGTTACGCGTCAAGTATCCTTAAAATTGTACTTTTATTAGAAAAAAAGCATTTGCAATACATAAGAAAACCAACTACATTAAGAAAAGTGAATTCTAATCCTAACACACGATTAATACGCAAACGCGCACAACACCTAACACTGTCCAATAATGCTCCTGAAATAATCTCTAAATCCAAGTTGGTCATCACAAAATAAATCTGCATCAAATCAACAAAATAGCCAAAATTCTTTCCCCGGATTTATGGAGAGGCGCATGAGAATGATTCACTTACATTAAGTAGGAGGCTTAATATCTGCGGCCGCCGCCCCCTGAACCTTGCTGGTAGTTACTGCCGCCCCCATAACCACCTGAGTCTACAATAAAAGAACCCAATTTGTTCCTCTGAATTTCTACCGTGTTTTCAAACTTACTATAAGGCGCAGGCCTTTGCTGCTGATAATTATTCCTCACGGCCCCTCCACTGTAGCCTTGTTGATAGCTGTTGCTAAAATTACCCGAACTGGGGGTTTGAGCCTGTCCTCCCCAACCACCTCCGCTAGTTCCGGCTATGCCAAAGAATAAACCAATAGCCAATAAATAAATAAATATATATTGAAGCCTTACTGTTGTATCCACCAGAGGGACTCTGATTGTAGGATTGCTGGGCGGGTGGGCCCCAAGGCTGTTGAGATTGATCCCACCCTCCGCTGCCTCCCCACGAATTTTGTTGGCCGCCTTGAGCGCCTCCCCAACCGCCCCCTTGGTTACCACCCCAGTTGTTGTCGCCTTGTTGGCCTCCCCAAGGTCCAGGCTGAGGAGCCCCATATCCTCCTCCTCCACCTCCTTGATGACCACCACCTAAGCAAAAATTTGAAAAAAAAAACTATCGCATTCATTAAGACAACTCCGACTAAAGATACCTTGATTGTTACTGCGGCCGCCTCGTCCACCTCCTCTATGTCCACCACGCCCCATGGAGCCGCCCACTTGGCCGCCTTGTTGCATGTCAATTTTGTTTAGGGCCTTTTTCACATCAACCACCTTGTTTTTGATCGTATGGGAGCGTTTTACTGAAAATGTTCGATGCTTTGCAAATGTTCCACTGGTTAGCTGGTTAACTTACAGACGATTTTATCTACCGAGTCGTAATCTTCGAACTCAATAAAGGCAAAGCCGCGCTTCTTCCTCGTTTCCTTGTCCACCACAATGCTGCAGGATAAAATGTTTCCAAACGTTTTGAAGTAGTCTTTCAGGTCCTCTTCTTCAATGTCTTCTTTAAGGCCGCCGACGAAAAGCTTTTTCACGGTAGCGCCGGCCTCGGGTCGTCCAATCTCCTGGCGCGGTACCGCCCTTTTGGGTTCCACCACCCGGCCATCAACTCTGCAGAAAAAAGACAATTTACACTTCCCAAAAAACGGCCGCTGAAGAAAATTACTTATGAGGTCGGGCTTTCTGGGCATCGTCCACCATCTGAGCACTGGAATAGGTGATAAAACCAAAGCCGCGGCTTCGCTTTGTGGTCGGATCCTTCATCACCACCACGTCAACAATTTCGCCCCATTGCTCAAAGTGCTTCTTCAATGACTCATCAGTCGTATGATAGTCCAGACCACCAATGAATAGTTTGCGGAACTGTTCAGGTTCCAAACCATCCTGGAATTCAATAGTACTATATAGATTCCAAATAATAACAATCGCAGTTGTTTGAGGCTAGAAATTATGTGTTTTGAGTCCTCCATTAAAAGTACTTAAAACAGACATTCGAGCCGGTTTTCTTTTAAGGAACCTTCCAAATAGTTTACAGACTGATACTCACATTGCCGTTGTCTCTCCTCATGCTGATTTTTTCCAATAACGCAAAAACGCCTCAAAACTAAGAACTCCAAAAACTGGCGCAAACAAATTTGTGAACGAAATGGCCGCCAGTCAATCCCAAAACATCACTTTGCCAGGTGCTCGGTTGCCATATTTCCGAAATGCGACCTAAAACCCAATTATTTCAGTACTTAGAAACAATTGCTCCCCCAATTTACCTGCTCAGGGTCCTTCATATGCCAATAGCAATTTAAAAAATATTTTCCTAGTAAATTAGTAGTTCAAGAAATATTAAAATACTACCCGCATTCTTCCGAGGTCAATGCCATTGACCACAAATTACAGAGGGTTCTCTGGTGATCTGTGAAGCCTTGTTTATGGATCTGTGGTCACTGACTTGACGTTCAACAGCGCTTTAAAGGCTTTAACCCTACTTAAAAATAGGTTGAAATAAACACAAAATTATGATGGCACTTTAGATAAATCAACTGATTGTGTTGTGTGTTCCAATATGGCCAGGCAGAGAAAAAGCGTGCCGGATAGCAGGAACAGCAGCAGTAGCAACGGGAGCTCCGATTCCAAAGTTTTGGCCCCGCCACGCAAACCGCTCTGGGCCTACTATAAGGAGCTGCTTATCGGGCCTGCTGTGGTGATTATTGTCGTCTGTACAGTAATGGGCTATCAACAGACTCGCGTTAACACCCCTTTCGATGCCAAGAGGGTATTTTTCGCCAACAGTACGCACAGGCTGGGATTGACTTGGGGGGTGCTCTTTGCAGGTGGTTACCAGGACTGGGCTGGAAGTCCCCGAGCAGTTCTGGGGCTCTTACAGGCCGGGGGTGTACTTTGGCTTGAAAACTCGCGATCCCCATTCTCTTGTTATGGGCCTGATGTGGTATTTCCCTTACAGGCTAGGCCCTGGTATAGAGGGGATCAGGTTGGAGCCCCTTAAATTGTTTAGCTTCTTAACTGAGTGCTGACTTTGCAGACATTGGTGCGACCAAGCGGATAATTTGGAGAGCTACGGCTGGATCCAGCACGACGGCGCCACCTTTGGGGTGCAAGAAATCCGGGATGGGCCCTTTAAACTAACCACATCCTTCGTGAAACGAGTAGGAGGTGAAAATGGGGGAGAATGGACCGCGCGGGTTGCTGTGGAAGTTTTGGTGATTTTCTATGATGTTTTCTTGGGGCGTTTTAGTCAGAATCTATGGTGGTTTTTAGCCAGAGTTCCAGGACAGGGTGCAACCGAGTGAGCAGATATCCCTGATCTGGTACACAGCATTAGATGAGGGCGAGGGATCTATTGCGTTAACCAACTCGAATACTAAGATGACGGGGATTAAGGGCAGCACGCCCACTTTGGGTAAATGCGGCCGTTTTGTGGCGGTTAGGGTTTAACCGCTCTATGCGTTTAAGGCGATTTTAAACTCACCCTGGTGCCACAACAAGGCAAGGTCGATCATGAGTCTTTCGTGAGCACGACGGCCTCCGGCCTGCATCTACTAAAGGAGACTGTAATATCCTCGCTCAGACTGGCTGCGGACAAAACGAAACAAGCGAAAAAAATTGTTTTGGGCGGCGAAATTCGCGCAGCAGGAGACGAGAAAGTAACCACAGTCACCTTATTTACACCCATGTGGCTAAATCGAGCTATTCTAGAAACCGCCCAACTTTATGGCCATCCAAACCACCGCCAAACTTCCATTTTCCATCGACATCGTCTTTGAATCAGCCAGCGTAGTGAATAGAAAGGAGCAACTAGTGGGCGCTTCATTTACTAAAGCTTTGCAGTGGCAAACTACCAGGTTTAACCAACGGTTTGAAACAACGTTTCACCTCAAAGACAAGGGGTGGGTCCAGTAGGAGTTTAACAAAAAGTCCTTGGAGGAATAAAACGTTGCTTTCAGCTTTTCCCAGAAGCAAATTCAGTTCGCTCAAGCCACTCTCAGCAACATGCTGGGCGGCATTGGTTATTTCTACGGCTCATCCTCCGTCCAGAGCATCTACACTGACCTTCCGGTAGACTACTGGAAAGCGCCCCTTTTCACCGCAGTCCCATCCAGAAGTTTCTTCCCGCGGGGCTTTTTGTGGGACGAGGGCTTTCATGGCCTCCTAATCGCCCAATGGGACGTCGATCTCGAGCTGGACATCATCGCCCATTGGTTCGACCTGATGAACGCAGAGGGCTGGATCCCGAGAGAGCAGATTTTAGGTGATTAATCCCTACCGATTGGCTTTAGGAATTCGTCAAAATATGTTTGACAGGTGTGGAGGCATTGGCTAAAGTCCCGAAGGAGTTTGTAGTGCAGCGCAACACCAACGCCAATCCGCCGACATTTTTCCTCACTCTTCAGTATATTCTGCAGAAGTATGCGACTGATTTGACCAACGAGAGGCTGATGGTGCTTGAGCGCTTGTACCCAAGACTGCAGGTGCTCGTTTTAATGGGCAATTAATTTCAATAACGCTGTATGTGTGTTTTAGGCCTGGTACCAATGGTTTAACAGCACGCAAAAGGGGCCGCTCCCGGGGTCGTTTAGATGGCGCGGCCGCGACTCCTTGACGGACCGCGAGCTGAACCCCAAAACGCTCACGTCGGGGATGGATGACTACCCCAGGGCGTCCCATCCGACTGATCTGGAGCGGCACGTGGATCTCTACTGCTGGATGGCTGTTGCTTCGGAGACGATGGCAAAGTTGGCCTATATTTTGGGGCGCGATACGTCCAGGAAGTACCGGGAAACTGCCAATTATCTTATGGATAACCAGCTGTTGATCCAGCTGCATTGGTCGAATTTCTCCCGACGGTTTGCAGATTATGGGCTGCATACAGATGGCGTGAAGCTGGTGCGTCCCACACCGTTGCCCAGACAGCCCAACCAGAATATGGAAATGATTAGGCAGGTGCTAAAGCAGCCGGAGTATCGCCTGGTGGACTCCGTGTTTGGGTATGGGAATATTTTCCCGTTTTTGCTTCAAATTCTGCAGCCCACAGCGCCACAGTTAGGTGAGTAACCGCGTAAAAGTCAACGGGTTGTTAAACTGCTTGCTCAGGGCAAATCATCGCGGATATTCGCGACCCCAACCTGGTGTGGACCGAGTATGGGCTGCGGTCAGTGGCCAAAACAGCCCCCCTTTACATGGCGCGCAACACCGAACACGACCCCCCATATTGGAGAGGGCAAATTTGGATCAACATCAACTTTCTAGCCGCCAAGGCGCTTCATCATTACGCCCATATCGAGGGGCCCCACCAATCCAAAGCCCGCGAGGTTTATGGGGAATTGCGCTCGAATATCATCAATAATGTTATTGGACAGTACCACAAATCGGGCTACTGTTGGGAGCAGTACAGTGATAAAAATGGACAGGGAAGTGGATGCCGCCCTTTCACTGGCTGGACTGCGCTTACTGTGATTCTTATGAGTGAGGGCTACTAGTGTAATTACTTGCAGCTTGTATAGTGCGCTTTTACATTCTTTATAGTCACAGTTGCGCGGTCTGTGCGTTCGCAATAATTTTGTATAAATATTTAGGTGTCGCTAGCGTAGGTTTTTAACAATTACTCTCTTCGCAGTCAATATTGAATCAATATTTATGTTCTTCAGGCTGCTATTTGATAAATGCTTGTTAAATTACAAATTTCGGGCAACAAATTGTGAGGGTGAATAATGGTGAAAAATAAACTGATGCGAAAAATGTTTTTTTGCATTAAAAGAATGTTTAACTGATAACTATAGTTAATTAAATTAATTTTTGGACACTCATCTGGAGCTATGACGTTCTGGCTGTAAGGAGGTATATAGATGTCGATGGATGGTGTCGAGGTCAACGAGCCGAGGACGTATGACAGGCAGGGTGACCAGGTGTGGCGCCAAAGTTCTCATTAATATATTTTAGACACACAAGTAAACATATATAATTTCAATTCAACTTGTTAGAAAAACTAAAGTTCTTGCTTAATTTAAACCGTACCGCTTTGGTTTTATTGGTTTACCCCGTTTGAATTTACTTGGCGCCAAAACCGGCGATTTTTAAGTCTACATTTGGCAATTTTTGGCAACATTGCCATTTCTCAGTCTGGTCACCCTGTTCTCATGGTAAAATCACTGGCGGCTAAACGTAGGAATACGATCCCTTTAATGGGCATCCGCGGACTTTAAGCTATCAGCTGTTTATTTTCAAGTTTCGTGAGTTGCTGATTGAGGTTAGGATATTCCTTAATTCGTGACATACTCGTCTTTATCTATGATTCGTGCGCAACGGCCATTTGCACCAGTCTTCCTTAAAACTTATTCTTAGCTAGGGATAACTTTGGAGTAAGGTTAACCCTAACTACAGACATCTTTACACGGCTGTCAATTATGTGATACTTAGCTAAGATGAAGTTTTACCTGGCAACATTGCTAAAAGTGACAAACTGGCTTTTGCTCCCGTCTTTTCTTTCCAAAATAACCTTTATCTTAGAACTGAATGCGAGATTGCCGTTCCTGTTTACGTCTCAAATATAATTAATTCATAATATATTATTAAAGATGCAGTCATTTGAAAGTAAAAAACCGACATTTTTCATATAAGGAAAAACCTAAGACTCCCAGTTGGAAGCGAACAATGCTGTTATGAAGAGGAGCTTCAAAACATTTTAGCCAAAAGAGAGCAGGACAAAATCATGTTCCAGTTTCAATAGGAATAGTTAAAAAACACTTAAGCAAATAATGTTATTTTCCATTTGTTTTAGTAATGCATCATAAGTTATTTCAATTTAATAATGAACTTTAATTTAATAATATTGGTCCTTTAGCAAAAGCATTACTTTCAATTCAATTCAATTCATCGCTATTTACCAATGAATCTAAAATAGGATCAGTTAAGTCCCTCCTAGTGTGATTCCCTTGCAACAATATATTGTTTCTGTTAGGTACTTCATCTTCTTGCATAAGATGAAGTATGAAGCGTTCAACATCTTTACGATCAGGTCGCTGATCGTCATTTTGCTATCTACTCAATTATTTTATTAAAACCGTATCTATTTTTAGACGACAACCGAATGCAAGGACTGGGAATCCTCTTTACCAGATACCAAATATCTGCTCAACTATATTTATTATCCCTATATGCGACTCGTTGAATAATTGCTCTGCACGATTCGCAGGCTGTTCTAACGGAGTTAATAAATAAGGCCTTATGTTATATCCTCCATCGACTATAAACAGAAATTAACAGATACCGTTTAAATATACCAGAGGTACATATAAATAGACAGAATAGACCTTCCTCTTCTATGAGGTTCGATATGAAAAGTGCGGTGTACTTTGACACGGAACACGTTGAAAAAACAGAACATCATCAAAACTATCAAATAATGTGTTTTCTCGTAAACTAGTCTAGGAACTCGCACATGGTCGCTGTCATCATTATCAAATAACAGATCATTACTTAACACATTCATCATAAAATGGTCTAGTTCACGGAATATACTAATTATTATCGGTTGATAATGACAAATGGGCTAGTTTGCAACAAAATACTGCAACTGCAAAATTATTCAATATCAGTTCTGTTTGAGGTTAGTCTTCAAATCTGACTGGAATCTGACTTTAGGTTCCACTTAAGCGGCACTTCATCTTCCCCTTAAATTATTTGCCCGTTACGGTTCGCCTTAACGCTAGGTGACAGTGGTGCAAACGAATTCTGTCACTTAACTGTCACTCTTATGTTAAGGTGAGCCTGGTTCACTGGTGCAAATGGCCGTAAGATCGCTTGGTGAAAAGCGGCCTTAACCTTACATCCACTGTCTGTCATCCGTCCTCGGCCCCTTAACCTCGACACTTTGAATATAAAACTAAATTCAAAGCCTCGACACCATCCATCGACATCTATATACTTCCTTACATCCCCCTTCCTATACCTAATACTAATATGTAACTCTGAGCTCTACTTAATTTTACTTTACCCGACTTTAGCTATTTTAAACAAATTGATTCAGACCCGGAGGTGGCTTGAAAATCCTTCCCGAAGTCATGATTGTTGTTTTCTTTGATATTGTTCACCCTCATCGCTATCATTACCACTATTCATGCACAAGTATGCATCATTCTGAGTTTCCCGCTTTTCTGGTTCGATATCCAGCTCAATAAAGTATTTGACCTCGTCTCTACGATTCTTATTATCAATAGCATTATTCTTTACATTCTTCCCTGCTGGCAATGAGTAATGGTTCTCATACGGTTGCTCAGTTTGTTTTATATTCAGTTTTTTTTTATAAACTTGCGATTTCTGAATAGTATTGAACCATTATTCATTTGCACTTTATAAACCCTGTATCTGACTTTCTCTAGAACAATACTAGGAAGCCAGTCGCCATTAGGTGTCCTTTGAACATATATTTTTTCGCCTACATTTAAATCTAACAATGCTCTTTTCCCTCTATTATAATATTTCCCTTGGTGTAACTGTCTTTTTGTAATTATGCTCTTATTATATGAATTTGATATTTTCGGTTTAGACTCATTTTTAGTTATTGTTAGATTAGTTCTCAGTTTTCTCGACAACAATTCAGCTGGGGATACATTGTCAAAAATTGGGGTGGATCTATATTGTAGAGGTGCCATTTCAATGTCTTTTTTGTCATTTATAACTTTCTTAAAAATTTTCTTTGCCGTCTGAACATTCCTTTCCGCTAAGCCATTAGACTATGCATTAGTTGGTGAAGTAATGACATGTTTGAATTCCCATTCTTTACCAAAATCTTTAAACTCCTTAGATGCGAACTGAGCACCCCCATAACTTACCAAAGTTATTGGTATCCCATGACGGGAAAAAACTGATTTTAAAATTTCAATGACTGATTGTATTATTATTTGTGTCCACACATTCAATATACACATAATAATCAACCATTAGGAGATATTTCCGACCGCACAGTTCAAAAATGTCACATGAAATTTTATTCTATGGTAATGAACGAATGTCATGAGTTATAATAGGCTCTGTAATTGCAGAGTTTGCATAAGTAAGACATTGACGGCATAGAGATATTTCGTTTTTAATATGCTCAGTCATACCCGGCCAAAATTATGATTGTTGTGCCAATTTAGTACATTTTTCAATCCCTAAATGACTATAATGTATTCTATTTAGCATTTCTTGCTGTAGCGCTTTAGGCACTACCAAGCATTTATCTTTAAAAATCAATCCGTCAGCAATTGTGAAGTCAGATTTATACGGTGCAAATAGTTTTAAGTTATCATTTAGTTTTTTCGACGAATTAGGCCAACAGTTTAGAATTACATTTTTTAGTCGTTTAAGATGGGTCGTTTTCTGTGCGATATTGAAAATCTTAGTTTATTTTATCATCTGGCATTTAATTCCATTCTTACTAAACATATTTGACTCTCAATGTCCTTATCAAAGTCGTCTTCTTCATTATGAATTACATATGCCCGAGAGAGAGCATCCGCTAATATTAAATCTTTCCCCGGCTTAAACCTTAATTCTATATCAAATTTTTGAAATTGCAGCATCATTCACTGAAGTCTCGCTCGACGTTTATTTAGAGGTTTTTTGAAAATTGATATTAAAAGCTGATCATCCGTCGCCACGGTAACCCTTTGCCCATACGCATATTGATAAAACTTGTTTAAACCAAAGTATATTGCGTAAAGTACTTTGTCAATTTGTGCGTATCTTGTTTGTGTTTCTCTTAAAGCTTTTGAGGCATATGCACACGGCATATTGTTTTGCAATAAGCAAGCTCCTACTCCCGACTTTGAAGCATCAACTGAAATTACAATTTTTTTATCTGGGTCAAAAAATTGCAATACGGGTGTATTTATCAATATTTCTTTTAAGTTTTGAAACGCCTTCTCATGTTCCTCGCTCCAAATAAACTCCATATC